ACAGTGGAATCGAAAATGAAAACAAAGACAGAAAGATCCTTCAACTCAGAAGTGCTCCAATTCCATTTCTGTGACAAGGCAGAAAATATGCCGTGGTCAATTCATGAATGCTGTAAACACATCTGCTGATGGTGGGAGCCTGTGAAACAGGCAGAGGCAGGTATGTGCTGGGAGATCCAAAGCTAGATGGGGAGGAGTGGGCGGGAGGAGGCTGGGGCAAAGTAGGACAGCAGCAGAGGGGCCCTGGGGGCAGAAGGGAGAAGCAGGCTGGAAGCAGGAAGTCTACAGTGAGGCAGACAGGTGGGAGGAGCGGAGAGAAAGTGGCTCAGGAGATATGCTTAGAGTATTAGAACAGCTCATTCAGACACAAAGTCCGCATCTCACAGGCAAAGTGTAGGGTGGGTAGGATAAGAAGTCAGAGAGTCTATGAATGAAAATCAGTGGGACAGAAAAACAAAAAAGCTTTGGGAAGGACAGGAAGGTGAGAGACATTTGGCAGATGGACAAGAGGTAAAACTAGCCCAATTCTGGGAAACAGCCATGGAAAGCTGGGAGCCCAAGCACTCAGTGCTCCACTTGCCTCTTTCACAAGCAGGGCTCCACTTGCCTCTTTTCAAGTTATTTTACAGGGAGCACTGTGATTCTAATAAATGGAGAACTGGGGCTACCTGAGCTTTCCTGTGACCTCTCCACCACTCTTGGATCCCCTCATGTTTTCAAAAGCAATCTCAGCATGGAAAGCCCTAATTGCTATGGCTGCAGCTGAATGGCAAATGAGGCAGGGGACATGAAAGGATTTTAAAAACCATAAGCACACTATAAATGTGAGACAAATACGATGAAGACCACACAAGGGAAGAAGTATTTGTCCAATATGGAAGTTATGTCTATGAAGGTGCACCTAGCAAGGAATTCAGGTAATCTGACAGCACACCATTCCTGGTGTGTTTACTTCCCTGTCAAATGTTTCCACATTCCTACCTGAGGCAAAATATAAACTATGCAAAGGTTTATTAAAACTTTTGTCTGTATTTAATGTATTTCTCCGAGGTTTTGACACATTACAGATCTTAACTAATTAGGTTAAGTCCTTCAATTTGATCACTCACTGAGTGAGTTCCAAATTCAAGGTAGTGTGTCGTGCCAGTTGCTATGGGGGCTGCCACCACCAGCAGACAGCTTTAAGTTTCTTGGGTTCCATTCAGATTAGGGAAGCTGCATGTTTTTTCACAAGAGTGTAGGGAGAGAAAAATCTTTCTATTATGTGACTAGGAAAGACATTTCCAGTAACATATGTAATAAGAACGTAAAGGGAACTTCTTAATACCTGTGGTGTGTCCATGTCTATGTTTATCCTAGCCCAGTTGACATCCAAGCCCTCGTCATAATTGCATAACCACAGCATGTCATGTTGTTTCTTGTTGCAACTGTAACTTGTAAAATTAAACTTCAGAACTCAGATAGTCATGCTAAATAATTGCCTACTTTCAAAATACGCACACACATTTATATATGTATACATAATTTACGTGCTACTTCAGATAAGCTCCTGAATTATGATCTCTTAAAGTCAAAGCTGTCACCATTTTTTAAAATATAGTTTCACTGTCACAATTCTTCCTGCATACAAGCCATAGTCCTGTTTTTGCAGTGTTTTCTATCGCAATCTGATTCTCACATTTTCTTGAGAACCTATTTCAAACAACTTTTACCTCCTCCATGCTTTGGGGCTTTAAAAAAGTGAAGTTCAAAGGACTATGAAATGGCCAAAAATGTACTGATTTACTAAAAGCATATTAACAAAATAAAAGTATCTCTATACTAAATCGGAAAAGAAAAAAAAATGTCAGTGAAATATATGAATAGCCCACTCTATGACACTATGTGTGGTCCTCACACCTGTATTGTCTCCTATCCCCCTCCACTCACGTTGAGAGGGAGGCTTCACTAATACCTACTTCCAAAAACCACACATTTGAAAAGACAGACATTTTCATGAAACTAAGTCTGATCCACCAAATGTCTCAGTGAATCCTTATTTGCTGGATGTATGAACTGATGTACACAGTCACTATGTTCCTGGAAAGGTGAAGGCAAGTCCACTTTTACATAGAAACTATTTCCAGGTAAACTTGCATTAGATGATGGGACCTGTCGACCTTCACCAGCAAGGATCACCACCAAAAGGTACTACTTACAGAGCCAGAGCAGTGCTGAGCCCCTTCCCGACCACATTCCCATCCCTAACACCTCTCAGCAGTTTGGATTTCATCCCACCCATGAGGAGTCTGGAATTAAGTAGTTTAACCACATGAAACAAGCAGTGCCCATAGTCTGAGATGTCAGCAAAACAGTGGGAGGGGAAATTCACACAGGATGCACAAAGCTATGCCACCCCTCCTCCCTTTGTATTAGGTTCTAATGAGCTGGAAAAAACCAAAGTATTGTATTATAAGACAATGAGGTTTGAACAATTTCTGTGAACTGGCATTCTCCTTCTCCAGTCTCCTCCAGAATCATTGTCACATTCTCTCGCTTGGGCCATCCTCAAAGTGAATATAGCACCCTGTGACCTGAGTATTTAAATGTGTGTGCCACGAAAGGTGCTTCATATGGCTGCAAATTATATTGATAAATGTTCAAATGGAGCCTGTGCTCCTTGGCACACTTAGGACCTTTGTGAACTCGTCTGCTGTGTCTCCTGCCCTTAGGGAGGTACAGTGATGCTCCCTATCCCCAGCCTTTGATATCTCCTTCTCTGATCAAAAAAAAAATCCAGTAGAAGAGGCAAGCCACTCAGATGTAACATGCAGAACTCTCCTGGTCCCAAATCCAACACAATGCTGAGACCTGGACAACCTGCAAATGACACTCATCATGGCACAAACCACGTTCCTTCTGGGGAGGATTTGTGAAACAGTCACAACAGATAGAACCAATGAATGGCAAGTTCTTGACTTATACTCTGTGATTCAAGCAGTTAGAACCACTTTAGACAAGTGGCCTATTAACTCCCAGAAATCCATGTAATATGATGAGGTAGGGTGGGAAAGGGATAAATTACTAGCCAAGGGGACCAAATCATCAGCGTGAAACTGAGTTAGTTCCGCAGGAGGAAGCTAGAACTTTCAGGTCCTTGTAGGAAGAACCTGCCCATCAGAGAAATGTGAGTGCCACCACCCAAGCCATTCTGTGGAAGAAGTGTGCCCCCAAAACACATAGCTCCTCCTCAGGCATCCCTGGATCCAAGGGCCAAGCCCTCTGGTCTTCCTGGCTTTCCTAGTGGCCCTCTGCACATCAGGAACATTAAGGGAAACTAATTTCAATGCTGCATTAGAATTGGTTTAATGCCTGTAAATACTCAGTTGTTCTATCACATAGGCAGTTTCTACTTTATAAGTAGCAAAACAAAAAGAGGTGATCAAATTCAAATTCATGTCTTATCGGTTGCATTTCCAAACAGCCAACACTAAACATGTTCTGTTCACCCTACAACCCAGCTCTCCAAATATGAACAAGAGGAAAAAGCCCCAAATTTAGCATCTTGGACTTAAAAGATCCTTCAGAAACATCATTTTCCCCCCCACTGGAGCTGAAGTAGTCCAGGCCTACTAGGCCTAGGTCTGGTTTTGGTGTTTTAGGTTTTGGGGGTTTTTCTATCCTGGTGCCTTCTAATTTCACCAAACTCAAAGATTATTCTCATCAAATAGAAAGAGAGCCCATCCCTTGAAATGGGAGGTGTTCATTACATCTGTCTGTGTAATGAACTTGTCATTTCCCCAAACATCAAAAGAAAGAAAAAAGGACTACATGGAATCTATGGTGTGTTGGCCCCCTCCCAATGTTGAGTCACAGTTAAGTGTGTCTTTACCAAGGTTCTGGAGGATCAGGGTGTATCACTTTCAGAGTTGCTCCAAGAACTGAACTTATGGCTGACTTCCAGCACGCAGAACATCAGCTCTGCCTATTTTAAAACAATTTTCCTAGTCCACAAGTCATGGAGCTCATAGGTTGTCAACTTCCTATTGGAAACAAATCACTTTCCTCTCAAACGGAGTGCCATCGCTCAAGATTAACGGGTGTTAAGTGTGTTTATTTTTATCTTTGCCCATGCAACTCTCACAGCAAAGAAAGCCACCCTAAATTTCACCAACATGCCTGAGACATTCAAAGCTTTCGAAGAGGAATGAATGGGTGACCAGAGCCCTTAAGCCCACAAAAACAGTGTGTGGGGGGGAGGGGGATTCGTAGGGGGAGGGGGGAATGATAGGGAAGAACATTAATCAGCAGACCAAAGGCAGCCGCGGCAGTGGTGCTTAGAGAACTGCCTGCAGAGGGGAATGAAATCTGTTCGTGTACAATAACCAAGCACCCTCCCGCTGTCTCGTATGGGCACGAATAATAAACACACCGAGGACAGCAAACAGATGCACCGAAACAAGCCACCCCAGAAAGGTCAAAACTTGAGAAAGCCGGGGATCACAGCACCCACATAAACACATCAGTCAGTGGGAGCGGGAGAAGGGACTTGGAGACTTCGCAAAGGGTTCGAAATTTCATTTTTTTCTCTTTCTCTCTCTCCAGGTCTGCCTTGCAAAGTACAGGGGCTACAGGCAAAAGCTAGAGAAGCGCAGGCAGGCTGAGGGCGGCGGGGGGTGAGGGTGGGAAGGGAGGGGTGTCTCACATCAGCCACCCAGGCCTCAACGTGACGAAAGTCGTCAGCAGCCCCAACCGCATCCCAGCCCCTCCACCCCGCAAGCAAACGCCCCCCTGCAGCTCCTCCACCCCAGCTTCCGTCCCTTGCAGCACCCCACCAGCCAGCCCCGCACCAGCAGCAGCCCAGCCCGGGCACCGCGCCGGCAGCTCTACGACCGCGACTCCCATCCCTTCCGCGCGGCAGACGCCCCGCAGGCCTCGCTCCATGCCCACCCGGGATGCCAGGGGCGCCGAGCCCGCCGCGGACACCCCCAGCCCCCGGGCTGGCTGTGGTTCCCGCTTACCTTGGGCACTCGCGGGGGGGGGCTGAAGGTGGCAAGCCTCCCGCCCCCCGCCCTCTTTCCTCCTGGCCTTTTTTTTCTTCCTCCCTCCTGCTCCTCTTCTTCCTCCTCCCCACAGTGTGTCCGGGGTGTCCCCCTCCTCCCTGCCGCTTGGAGTAAAAGCAGAAAAGCCCGAAGCCAGCCGGGCCCGCGTGTGTGCGTGCGTGCGGGAGGCGGCGGCGCGCGGCCAGCTCTCCAGTAACTGAGCGCGGCGCGCGGCTCCCAACTAAAGTGTGAAAGAAGCGGTGGCCGCGGTGGCCGCGGCACGAAACGTCCCCCCGGGAGTGGGCAGGGAGCAAGCGGGAGCTGGCGGGGAGCTAGCGAGGGAGGGGACAAGGGAGGAGGGAGGGAGGGAGGGAGGAAGGGAGGGAGGGGACCTCCGCGCCCAGTCACTCACTCGAGGGGAGGGGCCACACAGACACTCCCCCACCGCCGGCCCGTCCCCGCGCCCAGCTCCCGCGCGTCCAGCTCCCCTCCCCGGGGGAGGAGCCTACGGAGGCCGCCCGGGCGCCGCGCATTGGGGAGGGGGAGCCCAGGCGGAATCGGGGCTCTAAGGGCTGCGGGGAGGGCGGTGGGCGTGTGTGATTGTGTGTGTTTATGATTGTGTGTGTGTGCGCGCCCTTCCCGGCTGGTGCGCCCTAGCGAGGGGAGACACGGACTGGAAGGTTGGGGCCCGCCTGGCCTTCCCGGGTCTGTCACTCGGGCGTTGGCGTGGGAGCCAAGGGGTAGCTCCGGAGCCCGGCGGGCCCAGCTCTGGGGCGATCAGACCCAGCGGAGGGGCTGTGCCTGCTGGAGGCCGACGGGGAAGGCTGGGGCTGGACCAGCGGGCGCATCCTCCTCCCCCAGCAGGCGCAGCCCAGGCCCCGGCCCCGCCAACCCAACGCCTCCGCCCTGCCCGGGAGCTGCGGCGCCTGCAAGATATTCTGAATGAAGCACTGGCGACTCGGGAGAAGCAGTGCTGGGACAAATGATGCGGGCGCCCCGCACCCTTCTCTCCACCCTTTCCGGCCCCCTAGGACCAAAGGGTTGAGGCTGTGTCTACTGGGGGATGGTTGGGGGTCTAGAGAGATCGTCGTCCAGCGGGTCATTCGTCCAGTTCTTTGTGGACCTTCACAGAAGGTCATCCAATTTCCTACCCTCTGGGAATGGGTTTTTCTCCTCCTCCCCAGCATCCCAGGCATTTTGCTGTGAGCTCTGAATTGATCTTTCTGGACCGATAGCCTTTGGATGTCTTTTGTGCGGCTCCCCCGCGCTTCACTGCTCCTTCATTGCCTTAGACACGCGAGGAATGTCAGGCTCCCAGAGTGAGGACACCCAAGAAAACAATAGGAGCGAGAGATCCTCCGCAGGCCTGGCAGATTACACACAACCCAATCGTTTCAAGTTGGAGAAGTCAAACGACACAAAGCTGTGACAGTGATGAGATACTTAATTGAAAAGCAAATTCATAATTCGGTTTAATGAAATGAGTTAATAATTACCCATGAGTGTCTAGGAAATGGGCCTTTTTTGAAAGATGGGTTTTCCTTCCCCACCCCTTTTTTCGACGTGAAAGGCTGGTAATCACATTGCAAATGATACTCAACTCGGATTCTGCTTTGTAAAATTATCCAAATTCTTGTTTATTTCTGTGTAACCTGAATTTGTAGTCTAGTCACCTGAGAGGGAGTGGTTGGTTAATAAGGAAGGGTAAACAACTTGGGATTTTGCTGCCTGCCACCATACCTACTATCATAAACGACTGGATTGATAGCTGTCAGCCTTTCTTCACTCATCTGTAAAATGGGCTTGGTACTAATACTTTGTACCTGGTCAACTTGTTGTGAAAGTAAAAGGAAACATAAAATGAGGTGGCAATGTGTGTCAGACACTTTGCATTGGCCTGACACATGGTAAGAAATCAATAAACAAACTATTATTTCAAATGTATAATTCAACCCCAAAGTTGGCATATTTTTATGCTCTTTCTTAAAGCAGTGCTGTGGCATGGAGATTGGTGCTGAATTTAACCAAATGTAGTCAATCCCTCCCTGGAGATTTTAGGCCATGCCTGAAACCCTCTCCTGTGATAAGATGGAGTAAGTACAAAACTCTGTGTGTGTGTGTGCATGTGTCTACATGTGTATAGAAAAGGAACTCTGAGGACCTCCTGCTCTTTTCTTCCTGTCCCCTCTCCTTCCCTCCCCTGCACAGGCCACCCTGAATGCACTCAACTCTCTAGTGACCTGTGTTGTATTCTCTCCCATAGGGCTCATCAGTGGCTGGCACTGTAGACTCCCTGATCCGCACAAGGCTCATGGGTCTTCTTTACTTGATATCCTCAGAAGTACCAGAAGGCCACAGAACGACCACTTCATACACTGAAGATGAAAGGCCACCCATACTGTGAACTTTCAAAGCTAGTTTTTAAATTATTCAAGGAACTACATGTTCATTGTGGAAATTTTTCAATGTGAAAAACTCAGCTAAGTATAAAGAAAATAAAATCCACCATAATGCCACATCCAGAGTGAAGCACTCAGTAAGTGCTTCAAGCACTTATCTATCTCCCTACATTTCATTCTTTGCCAGTCTTCAAACATTTATTAAGTAACCAGTTAGAGACCAGACTATTTACCAGGTCCTAAACATTGCATTGTTAGTGTTAGCTCTCAAAAAACCCATTCCTTAGAAGAGACATTTTGTATAGTAGTGAGGTTCTCCAAATAGCTAAGAAACGCCCATAGAAGGAATCCAGGAATTAAATGCCCATGCTGACCAGACACAATCCAGAGTTTTTAGGACTTGTACTTACAGTTCAGGGACCCACATACAAGATTTGGGGGAAAAAAGATGAAAATACAAAAACTTCTTGGAAGGGCTCATGTGTGTGATGGTCAGAAACAAACCTCACGGGCTTTAGAGTAAGCCTACTTGTTGGTGCTGGAATTCCTGTAGAAATAAACCTCTTTGGTAAACACCGTTTCAAAGTGAACATTCACTCTTCATTTCACCTGGAATCCCTGGACATTTCTCCTCCCTTCCCCCACAAATTTGGAAGAGATGGGAGTGGAGACCCTACCACCAACAACATACACACCCATTTTCTTAATATTTGGCCATAGCAGGGAAGAGGGGGCGACTTCTCCAAGAGCTAAGGAAGAGAAGGGGGAAAGAAGAGGCAGATAGTCTGAGCACCAGGCCCTGGAGGCAGCCAGGGGGCCACTACCCATGCAAATCAGGTTGGTCAGCACAAGCCATAGCAACTAGACATTTTATCACAAAATAGTCTCTCTGGTCACACATAATTATTAAGACCACTATAGCCATACTTACATAAAAAGAATGAAAAAAGCATTTTCCTGGCCTAGTCATTGCTTTGTTCTTACACACCATCAGAATCTGAGTTTCCTACCTTTAAATACTATAAATATAGTTTTCCGAAAAGTGAGAACTCTTTTTGCCTAGCAAAGTTGCATTCTAATTTTCAAAGCTGTCATCATCATAATAAATATTCTCCTATTCTTCAGACTTTTGCTTATGAATACTTGGCTGTGTAGGGCCATTCATAACACATCACTTTACATCTTTTTGTTTCTTATTTTTAGCTATGTTTGTGGAGTGAAAGTTTGTGCCCCTCAAAATTCATATATTGAAGATCTAGCCCCAATGTGATAGATGAGGAGGTGGGACTCTGTGGGAAGTGTTTAGATTTAGATGAGGTTTTCAGGGTGGGGACCTCACAATGTGATTATGCCCTTCTCACCTTTATGTGAGAACAAAGCAAGAAGGCAGCATCGGGGAGGGTCCCCACCAAAAACCTGACCACGCTGGCACCATGATCTTGTAATTCAGCTTCTAGAACAGTGAGAAATGAATTTCTGTCATTTAAGTCACCCAGTCTATGATATTTTGTTACAGCATCCTGAGCTGACTAAAACACACAGATTCCTTTAACGTTTGACCATAAAAAAGAAACCAAGAGGAAAGTAGGTTGATTAACATTGGTAAATGCAGTACACTGCTCTCCTATATATAGCTTCTCATATGAATTAATTTTATGTGTTTTATTTTTTAAAAGCTTTCCAATAAGGTTAATTAAGTTAAAATAGCTTGGACAAGGTAATTCAAATACAAGTGATTTTCAGACATGAAATGTGCTCAGTTGCTTTTGAAGGCTCCACACAGTAACATTGAACATGATGGCTGTGTGTCAAACGCACCTTGTGTAATTCATAATGACTGGGCACTACCTCACTTCATCTTCCCAATATCACAATCAGGTAGACACTCATGTTATCATCCCTCCCATGCAGATGGAAGAATGGAGGCACATGGGTGAAATAATTAGTGCAAAGCCAAGGGGCTGATTTCTTACTAGTCAGATGCCAGAGCCCACACTTCATTACGAAACATGTTTTCTTTTCACTCTCTTCTGTCTCATCCTTCAAAGCCAGGTTCACACTCTTAAGTCCTAAATGGAGGTCCATCTGAGTGACTCCAGCCTCTGAGATTCTGCATCCTTAGAGTCTACCCTGCTTGTCTTATACTGTTGGGGACAGTTTACTTCTTTTATATTAGCTCTATCATCAAGATCAATAGCTAGAGCTAGTGGAGTGGCTGAAGTGGTAGAGTGCATGCCCAGTGAGCGTGAGGCCCTGGGTTCAAACCCCAGAACTGCCAAAAAATAAAATAAGTAAATAAATAAATAAACAAATAACTACAACCACTATGGATCTATAGCTAGAGGCTGGAGACTGAATATGAGAGTGTGTGAGTGAGGGTGTGTGTGTGTGTGCCTGTGTTTAAATCATCATTTGGAGAAATGTTTTCATTTCTGCACACTGCAGAAAAAGCATCCAATAAGCAGTAGCTGTGATGTGAGAGTTATTTATCTCTTTTGACTATGATGGTGTCACTTGAATGACTCCCAGCTTCTTCTGAATGGTTGGGGCTAAATCAGAACAGAGTTTAAAGCCAGTGCTAACAACTTGCTAATGGTTCTAATTGGTCTTTCAATGATGTGTGAATTACTCTGAGTAACCTGCTTTTCTAGATCTGAAAATTATAGCTCTTATATCTGTTTTTTTCCTTCAGTTTCTCCTTAGGGTATGTATTTTCTTTTATCTCATCTTCAAACGTTGGATAGGCAGACAAAAACAGAGACCATCCACACCTGAAGCAAAGAGTCAACGACAACCCTCAGGGAGGGCTACCTCAAGTCAGATGCATGATGAAAATGAATGTGAGTGTGGGGAGGGGAGGGGATTCAGAGTCCCCCCCACACACCAGTGTAGACTGAACCTCTGCTTTCTCCCCTTTTTGCTTCATGGGTTGTGTTGCC